ATCATCATCGAAGTAACCCGAGGAAGTGGACGAGGTGGTACGCGGATACTTGAGCATTTTCTCACACTTTTTAGTTTCACCTTTTTGTTGTTAAATTGGATTTGTAGTACAATTTATGGCTTGCTATTGGTAAATATTTACTTTTTCACTTTAAGGTTATTTATTTTTGGCCTGATAAATTAGCGCCTTGGACAACTTGTTTGGTTTATGTGACCCTTTTTGTTATTGTTGATATTCGGCTGTTATATAAAGACGGGCAGAAATATTGAGTATTTACTCAATCGGGCGCGGAAAGGAGAAACAGCAAACGAATTGTGTAGCCGGTCGAACGACAACTAAAAACAAAAATTGCTTTGAATTTTCGAATTTTGCATTAATTTTATTTTTCTCGCCACCGAGAGTGAGAGCCATACTGAGAGAAAAAACCGAGAGAAACATGCACTTCAACTTGGACAACAACACGACCAACGGCTCCCAATACGTTGGCCAATTGTATTTATAATTTTATTTATATATTTTGCATACATTGTTGCTGTTGCCTTCTCTTGATATATTTTTTTTTCAGTTACTGTCTGTATTTCTCTCTGACAAATTGTTAAGCGCTGTCTGGAACTGGTAGCGCGTGCCAAATAGCAAAAACTAATATGAGGGAAGACGTTTGGAGAATTCCGCGAACGGAGCAGCACCGATGGAACTTCTCCTCTCGGGTGGCAATTAATCAAGTCTTGACTAAAAATAAATATTAACCAATTAAATTTATCTGTTAAGATACGCACAGCAGCCGCGCGAACACTCGAAAGATACAAGTTGTAATTGCAGACAAATTTAGTGTTTTTGCCTAGCAGAGAAGCGCCTGCGATAGTCGAGGAATTTGAAATACGAAATGGCAAAACGTGACTTTGCTGTGTATTTTAAAATTACGTTGTGGGGAGCTGCATTTATGTAATTTAAGTTTTTAAAATTTTGTGTGTATTAGTTGCAATTTCATGTACTTTACTTTTCCAAAGATTGTGGTTTATGAGTTAGCTGAACAATTCCAGCAATAATTTTGAAATTTCACTCCTCTACACTTGCAAATTAATATTTTAAAATTCTGCCACTTTTTGTAGAATATATTTGGTCTTTTTCCGGACCATTTCTGGCTCCATTCGAATGTGAAAACAAATTAAGCGATCTCCCACCAAGAAAACCGAATGTAAAGCAAAACTCTTGAACCACCCAAAATTTATTCCACAATTTGTTTTTGCCGTTTTCCACTCATTTTGTTTTCGCTCGCGGCTTATTTTTAGACGAATTCGATTTAGACAAATAGTGCGTGCGATCGCCAACTACATAGATAGATAGCTAGATTTTGTATCTCAACTGTAAGTATATAGAAGTCCCAACGCAGATCGGTAAATAAATAAGCAAAAGAATTCACAATCAGTCAGTAACAAGGTCAGGGTACCGAGCCATCGACATCGACAACGAAAAAGAACAGCGGCTACAATTAACGCACGTCATCATCACTCGACGCGTATCCGTAAGATACAAAATAACGACAGACACGCGGGACGGATGGCGAGCTCCCTCTTAAACTATAACAAATTGTTTAAGCAAATACTGTTCGGTCTTTACTCTTTCGCTGATATTCGGTTGTAACTTTTGTTGGAGAACAACCTTAGAGTTGCCCGCGATTGCGTCTCACGCCGGCGACAAGTTTTTGTTTACTGAATTCGAACCAAAAACTGTATTTTACACAATATCCAAAAACGACCAGCAGAACACGAAAAAAATAAAACCAAAAAGGCGGCAGCGACGTCGACAGTGGTGGCTGCGCTCAACGCCAGCAATAAAATTATTTTCAAAAATACATTTTTTCAGCGTTTCTTCTCTCTTTAGTTTGGGAAGACGACGGCGACGAAAGCGCCGAATAATAGGGGAGAAACACAATTTACGCACACGACCGGAGCCGAAGCTATTTTATATTTTATTTCACTTTTTTCCCCTTTTTTTGTTTTTTTTTTGGAGCACCGATGAACGATAAGAGGAGAAACACACCATACTCGACAGGCAAAAAACAAAGCAGATTACATCGAAGAACCGTCGTGTGCCCCTTATCAACAATAACTCTATCTAATCGTCGTCTGATAATTAGCATTGAGTGATAGGTGGGGTAGAGAAAAACTGGGAATCAAGTGGACGCAGAGAAACTGGGAACCATAGACGTGGGTGGCAATTTCTAGGAGGGGTCGAGCTAGGAAATAGAGCAATAACAATTTCAAGGTTATAGATACATAGATGGGTAGATTCAGTTGCTCAACGTTTAAATAAGCCTGCAATAGAAGTCCTATACTCTTGTATATCTTCATTACCGAATCTCAACTAGATATAAATTATCTGCGATAAAACATTTTTTTCAGTGCAAATCATTCTGACACCTTTAGCTTCGCCGCCTTTGAACCAACTTTTTCTTGCCAAAACATTATCACCCAGTCAATAAATGGGTCTTAATATGTCTTAAAATTTAAAGTCCGAGTTGGTTTTAGGAATATTAAGCCGATATGTAAATGATATTGATAAGGAAGACAAGCGCAAAATCAATTAATAATACGCTTTGCGAATGAAAAGGAAATAGAGCTGATAGCATTCGATTTGTACTGAAGTAACCGCCAAAAAATAAAGGATTGCCATTTTCAAACTTATATAAATATAATAAATGTATAAATAAAATTAAAACACAATGGTATTATCTAGATGACTATACTAATATATACTTTCCAAGCACTTTAACTGGACGCTACCTCAACAGCATTAATATAAACTAATCACCGACGAAACACAAAGCAAACATTGGCTATCAACTGACAGGAAAAGCGTGTGCACTTTGATTATAAGCCACTCGACTAGTCAACTCTAACCAAATAAATATGGAAATGCGAAAAGTCAAATGCAAATATGAAAAGGCTGGGCACATGTTCAAATGACTTCACGAATGTTCTGTATGATCATCTGACTGCAGACCGATTTCATGGCAAATTATGAATAGGGAAAGGAATAAGATTTCATAACCCATGCTGCAAATTGCAGGGGGAGACCAGGAAAATTCGAGGAAATGGGTTGCGACAAGTGACGAGTTAGCGTGAAATTTATAGCCAACAACGGTCCGCGCCTGAGTGAAAGAAAAGTCAGAGAAAAGCGACGCAAAGGAAAATGCAAGCGATACAGTTTTGCTTTCTGATTTAAGCAAATTACAGCAGCTGGCCACCTGCGCGTATACGTAATGTGAATTTATTGGCTCATTAGAGTTGAGCAAACGTTAAAGCGTCGGCAAAAATAGTTTGCAGCTAAGGCGAATTTATGCTTGCTATATTTTTCTGCGCTGCTTTTTAATATATCTATCTATAAAGTGTATCTATCTATAAAGAATGCACACTGTCGTACACACGTCTAATTGGCGTTTAATTGCAGTTTGTTAAAAGTCATTGGGACTGGGCAGCAGTCTGTTGAACGTTCTCTTATCACCCCGCTGATTATTTATATGGTCGAGCCCGATAAGACCGGTTTGTTTGGTATTGTTTAGTCATTTTCTATAAATAGGCCATTAGTCAACTTTAGGTAATATGAGAAGAATTTGGATACGGGAAGTATTTCCAAAAGATTAGCTGATATTTGCGCAAATTTAAAAACTAAGATTTCGTTTTAGTAAAATAGAATCATTTCCGAATTGTTACTGGCTAATAATAATTTGAACTATTATAGTTTCTGAACTATAGTTTTTAATAAAAAGGGCTAAATAAGAAAAATTTGCAGGTGTTCCAGCCACATTCCTCTTAAAAGCACTAAGTCAATATTTGCCAGCAGTTTTCTGATTAACAGTCAACATTTTGAGTAGAACTTGACTACCTGTCGAGAACTCTACATTTCTTATAACACCATTTTAAGTTGTGCAAATACACAAATGATTGTGTTGGAGTGGATTAAAGTGGATTAGTCAGTAAGTAAGTTATTATTACATGTCCATAAGCAAGGCGATGGTGGCTTCCTTTCTTGTTATTTCTCATTTGATACGAACCAGTTAAGACCCCTTCATTAATTGGTTCATACCATGGGCTGCTCTGTATTATTAATCACTTCACGTTCCCCTGCTTAATTAACCCTGTGCTTCCAAGTATCCCACCCCGTTTAACTTACTGTCTTTTGAAGTAGCTTGAAATGAAAACGCTTACCTGAAAAGAAAATGCAAAAATAAATATCAATTAATAAGGTGAAACTCAATTCCAATCAATTTCAAGTACTTATGCCTAGGCAAATAATTAATTTTCAACTGATTGAAACGACGCAAAAGGTCGTCGCCGTAGTCGACAATAACGACGAAAATAAAATAAAGCAAAATGCGAAAAAAATTGATTTAATTAATTGTCGTAATCAGGTATAGCAACAAATTAAGTGCTTGGGTACATGTAAAAATAAATTTCAGCGATTTTAAAGAGCCAGCTTCCTGCCAAAAGACGTCACACGAGTGTAATTTGTTGGCCAACAGATCCCAGTGTGCACCAACCAAATGAAAGGGGAAATGGCATCAATTTTCGCAAGCTTGGCCAATTTTGGCTAAAACTGCACGACGTGTGTCACCAAACGTGTGGGTGCTGATGGCTAAAATATAAGCACACAATTCTATCGCCCTTTCCTCGACTCTGAATATTCTTTTGTCAGCCTGTTGGCAGGTGGACAGCCCAAGGATGAGTCAAATACAGAACTGGTTTAGCCTTTTAATTGAAATGCTTCGCCTAATTTGGCACTAAGCGTCAAGTACCACAGAAAACAGGTGAAGAGGTTTTGGGAAACAACAGGCACAATTCTTAGAAATTCAATGAATACTCAAAAAAGGTGGGCCAACGAAACATCAAACATATCGTGACAATTTGAATATAGAGAAATTTCTTCCAATAAACATGTATTATTACATGTATTCATAGCTAAGCACTTAAAAAGCATTTTAAAACGGCTAAACAGTTTTCTTATTCTAAATTTATTTTTAATAGAACAATGTTAGTGCGATTTACCTATAAAATGACTACATTTTTATCATCTCTGTATACTAATAAAATATTTAATTGTTTAGGCCTAAAGCTAAGTATAACTATTGATTTCTAACAATCGGAAACTTCTGCACAGATAAGGACTTCAGAGTTGGGCTCTTCTAAATATTTCTCTGTTTTGGTATCCGATGGCAATGTTTCGGCAGTTAGAACCTCGTTTAGTGTCTTTTTTGACTTCTCATTTGCATTGATTGGTTCCACCATGTCTTCCTGAGTTTCCTCGACCACATCATCATTATCATTCTCAATTCTGCCCATAAGAGGATTGCCTAGCTCATCGATGACGATACCGACACATGAATAATTCGTTTCCAGTATGGATTCCCAACGATCGACGTAGTTGATCTCTGATTTATGCGTTTCCATTATCGACTTCAGATAATTCGTAAAGTCCCTGCCAGCAACATGAGACAGGGTTCCGTTTAAGCCGAATTCCGGGAAATCACTGGACACATCGTAGATTTTTCCCTTGAGCGCCACCAGTATTCTGCCATCACTTCGGGTCCCATCGAATCCCAACAACTGATCCAGGGTCAATTTGATTGGGGGCAAATCAGGCAGATTGGCAGCAAGAATTTTGGAACCAACCTCCGCATTTCGTCTGTCACCCCGCTGATGGTAAAAGGCGTACAAGTAACCCAAGACGGCGGCACAGATCATCAACACCATGTTGACCGTAAAGCCCAAGCCACTTAAGTCCTCCATATTATATATTTTTATGTATAATTTAGCCGAAGTTTTATGATTGCAATTCGGAATTTATTTCTCAGCACAGAAGTTGACTAATTTTGAGTGAGCTAGTGTTTGGAAATAACTCTCAAGGCTAACTTGGCTTTAATCGAAATGGTATTGCCCAACACTTGTGTGACTAAGAAAGCCTTCCCTGATGGAAGTGCTTTTGAATTCATAGATTGGCAGCAGTTGGAAAATAGATTTTAAACAAATCGAAATCAAAAATCTATTAGTTAAAGATTATTATAGAAAAATAGGCCCAAGAAGGTCGATTTCACTCCAATCGCATCCTGTATTTTATCTGCCAATACCTCACAGAGCGATAGCTGAGGTGTATTTTGATATTCCGCCGCTGCCTTAGGCTGTTATCAAACAAACGAATGAAAACTCGTAGCCATATCATTCGCGCTGCGAGGGCAGGTGATAATGTCAGCAAGTGTATCAGGAGCACAGAAATTGGAGCAGAGCTCCAGAGGCGGGCAGTCAGCACAAAAGCAAGTTGAACAGTTTTCTTATATTATCAGTTGATTAAATATGAATTATATGAACAAATAAAGGCGCAAACACTGGGTTGCACAAGTGTGTGTGCCACGAGAAACGATAAGCGCCGGCATACAAAAAAAAAAAAAAAAGTTTAAAACAATATTACTGATACAGGGTGGTGTTAAAAATCAAGGGGAATCTAAAAACTCTTAATGTAAGGGTGTTAATCAATATTTGTTTACATAGGTCTATGCATTAATTACAGAAATGTCTGAAGTTTAATGTTTTTAAAGGGTGTTAACGAAATTCGCTTCAATAAAATGAATGCTAAACATTTTTGTGTTTTGTTTGTGCTGCTGAAGAAGTGTTAATTAATAAATTAAACTTGTTTCAAACTATTTGTTCTGACTCAATGCAGAAAATTACAAATTTTAAAATACCCTTTAAACATATATTGGTTTAAAACAGTTCAATTTTTTGTTCACTGTGTACCCGAAATGAATGGCATCAAATGTCATTATTATTAGTTAGTATTAGTTGACATTTAATTAAAATAAAGATGTATATATATATGAATAATTGATCTATTGAAATTGTAACTAAGCGGAAAATGCAAATTTGTTGACTACCAAGAAACATATTTTCCAAGCGAAATTTGTCTTGTGTTTTACAGCCTGTCGCTTCTCATTTACTTACCCGATGAAATCTTTGATAAAACAATAAACCTTAAATAAGCCCCGATCATTATTGAGTAAATATTCGGGCTGTATGACTGCAGCGGGCATTATAAGATTGGATTGTGGTTGCTGCTGCTGTTGTTGTTGCTGTTGGTGGTGGAGCATTTGTTGTTGCTGCAGCGTGGACTCGCTGCCGCCGATGTTGTTGTTGCTGCTGCTGCTGGTCGTCGCCATATTGGCAGCCATTTTATTGGCTAACGCAGCCATTTTGTTGCTACTGTTGCTACTGTTGCCGCCATGCTTGCAACGCGTATGTTCATGCAACTGTTGTTGTTATGTCGTTTAGCAATTATCGCAGTTGTTTAATCAAAGTTAGTAGTGCTGTTTGGTAGCGCACCGCATTGTCTTGCTTTGAGCCAAATTCGTATTTAATTCAAATGAAATTGACCATAAAATTGAAATACAGAAGTCTACCATTTGGCAAATAACTATTGCAAAGGTTTTTAACACTTTTTTGCATACCAATTAAAATAAATCACATAACAATTTGTAATTTGTTGTGAAACTTAAGAATATATTGCTAAATTTGGGTTTTCCTGCAACAGTTATACAAAAATGACTTGAACCAAAAAGGAACATATAAATTGAAATCACAAAAGCAATTGGCAAATTGTATTTTGCTTTCATTTGAAACTTTGCCAATTTCCATCAATTTCTGTTTCAGCTTTCATTCTGTGGTGTGTTGTGGTGATAGTGTGGGTGTTTGTTGCATGTGTCTTCATTAAAAGCAAAGTTGCAGCGTGTGGAGTAAAGTATTTAATTAACATTCACAGAGCTCTGACATGCCACAGCCACAAGGCGTTTTGTTGCATGCCCCGCACAGAAAACACACGTACAAATGGGCAGATGAACAACGCTTACGTAACACACATGAAGCGGATGAAAGAGCATGCGAGATGCAGTAGCACACAACTGGGTTACCCAATGTTAAATATCATTTCATTTTCGATGCATGAATGAAATTTCAAATGCTACAAGTACTGGTCATTTTAAATAACTAAACAATGTATTTAATATACGAATTTTCCTTAAGAATTTTATAATTTACCTATTTCTGCCTGCCATCTGAAGCCAGTTTTAAAAGGGTTTTATATGGTTTAAAATTAAAAAATTAGAAAAAAATCAATAAGCTAGATAAATTAAAAGCAATGTATCCACTAGCTATTCCTTTAGCTATGACAGGGAAAAATAAATAATGCAGGAAATGTGATCTTCCCTTCCCAAGGAAGTGTTCGCTTTCGAGTGAATAGAGTGCCACCGCAATAGAAATTGCTTCGACCGCCTGTCAAGTGGTACAAAAATGTAATATGTCTCGGGAACACAAGTTAGTCGAGCACTGGGTCGCTGGTTTCCCATTTTATCCAGCTTCTTGCAACAAATGGCGTCTGTTGACAGCTAGTTGACAGTGCGGCTAGAAATATGACAGCTGCGGCTGGAGGCACTTGTGTGTCAACAACTGTGTAACAACTTGTTTAAGATGCGATAAGCAAAAAGCACAGACATTTCAGCAAAACAATAATAAAGGACGATAGATGCCTCCCCAGATGGGCATTACACGAGCAGGCCAAAACACAAAAATGTAACAATTGATGTGCTACCCACATTAATTAGCATTTTTAATCACCCAAAACCGAGGGTACGAGCAAGGTTAGCAGGCAGTACTCGGCAGAATTATTTATATATTTTTTGAGGTATCATATGTTTTGCTTTTTAATATAGTCAAGTGGCGGGGCCCTAACGATGATGTTTTACTCGACCCTGACTTTGACTTCCCTCTGCCCACACAAGCAACAAACCAACCAACCAACCAACCAGTCACGTACCAAAGCGGCAGTACAAGCACTTTTTTTTGTCAAGGGTCCACACTTCTAAGCCCTCGAAGGAATGAAGGGGTCGGAAGGTTTGGAGGCACCAACATGCCGAGTATTTTCATGCAAAGAGTTGGTGGAAAACCTTGAGATGCTATGCGATGCCAAAGAACGAACTCATTCACATTCTCGTTCACAGAGCACCCCACACTCAATTGAAACTGACACACGGCGCCCAGCATGAAACAACACAAAACCAAAAACCATTTCGCCTTGAAAACGTTTTCATAATGGAACCCAACTCGACACTAAACACAGCGCGAAACAAGAAAATGAAATCTCTGTTTGGAAATGAACTGCATGTCTAATGCTTGGTTCCCATTGTAAGGGCATCATTTGAGAGCTAGTCAACACAATGGAATGGAATGGATGAATGGATGTTTGCCAAGGATCTTTTCTTGTTTACTTGGGCACGTGCGGGTGCCAGTGGGCTTTGATACATTAGATGAGATCCGCGGAAGTAATGTTTATTAGGCTCATGCAAGATTATCATGGGACACAGTAAATGGGACAGCATAATGTTAAAATTCAAGAAATCTCTTTGTATATTACAACGCTAATATCTTAATGCTTCTTGTAGACTGTAAGAAAATGCACTACTTTGAAATTTTTTTTAGGTCCAACGGGTACACATGACTCCAATTCTGTTCGTTTTTATGTTGTATTTGTTAATCAGTAATATTTATTGAGATGTAAAATAGTTATTCAAAATTCAGTACGATTTTGGTGGACTAAAGTTGCCATTTCAATAAATACTATCCCAAATTAAAACCTCAGCTCTGCCAAGCGTTCAATAAAAATCATTTAAGCGTGAAATGTATGCACATTCTGAATCCTTGCTGACGTCAAAATCACATTTTTCTAGCCTCCATCATCGCGACTCTTGGTATCCGTATGCGTATTTCAGTGCAACTCACGCAGTGTGTAATGGAATTATGCAAAGTATCTGTGTGCGGCTATCTGCAAGTAAGTGTGTGTTTATGTGTGTGTGCGCGTCATTGAGCTAAAGCAAAGAAAACAAAAAAAGAACCAAACAAGTACGGGCAAGGATCGGGCGAAGGACTCGTCAACTTTCCAAAAGCGCATTACTTGCTTTGGGAACAAGAGAAAATACTAAAAAAAAATGAAACGCAATCGTTTTTGCCACAGAGGCACACACACACAGATGCAAACCAGCAAGCCTGACCTTGACCTGGAAACTGCGCCATGTGGAGCAATCGTGGGATGGGTGGGCCGCTCTCGCCTCCTCTTTCTATCTCCCTGCGAATGGGCCAACAGAAAAATACGAAACCTGAACATGTTGTTATTTGAGTTTAGTTCAGTTCAGTTCTTTGCTGCAACCGCTTCGCCCAGATACGGATACAAATACATATGCAGATGCTGGCGCACACACAGATACAGCCCACAATCAGCAGCAGCCTCAGATACATTCGCACAGATACAGCATAAAGTGCTTGCATTCATTGTGTGGGTGGCAAATGTGGGTCGTGGCGGATGCTTCGCTATGTTCTGCTGCCCCACCATTCACCCCTGGATTTTTATGATAACATTTTATTGTTTCCCCCAACTTCGCTTGACTTTATGGCATCTCCAGTTGCCGTTCAGCTGCAGTTGAGCGACTGACAATTGGCGCCAAATGCTGCCAAGGACGCCAACATTTCCAAAACGATTTCATCACGTAAGCTGCATTTCAGAAGTACGAGGGATTTGCATCTACGAAATGCCATTGCATTCGGGTCATAAATTTCCATTTTAATGGGAGGAATATGAAAAAGTTCACGGGTTGATATGAAGAAGGGGTTTTGGTAGCAATAACAAAAAACTAGTTTAATTTTAAGTCTGCCTCTTGGACAATCTTTCTAAAGGTTAACTGGACCGCTAGTTATGCCACGGAAACTATAATGGTCTGACAGAAGAAAGCTCTTAGTTTGTACTCTTTTATTATAAGTTTAAATGAACTACCGATGAATTAACTCAACGGTGCATTCAAGTTTGTGCTCAATTAAGTTCCGTAAAAGTAATTAATCGCTCA